ATTAAAGTGAATTTATGATTAGATCCAGTTTGTGTAAGTCAAACTGAAAAAAATGCTACATATATCAAATACAACTTGGAAGAAATTTGACTTACTAATGTAATGCCTCTGTCTCTTTAAGAATTTCCTGCTCTTTCTGAAACTTCACCCTCAGGAAGTCATGGCTCCTCTATTAACCCTTCAACAGTGTTTTTACCAGCTACAAAGTAGCTGGTATAACAAGCTGAGCAGATGTGCCGCTCCATCAGGTATTTCCTAATTGCTCCTGGCTAGTCTGAAGGAGCTGAGTGAGAGAGTCGCAGGGGAGGGTTGAGGCAGAAGCTCTGAAACTTGGAGGAGGAGTTTCATCCTTGCAGACCGTGCTAGGACCACCCAGGTGTTTGACACATCTGAATGATTGCCATGGGAGATTGAAGGATTTCTCAAACATGCATGAAAGAATCAAACCAACACTCCAGGTGTGTTTTTAATGAGAAAATAAAGTTTGAATATAAAGTTTTAAAAATAGTCAATTTTATATCAACCGTTCTTTTAAATTCTGTGATTTTTTTTTTTTATTTTTGATGTAGAAAACAATCTCCACTAATGTGTGAAAGACAAGATCTTGATCAAATGAACTAATAGCACATTGCACAAACAGCTAACTATTGTAATTGAATTGAGTATAGTCTGCAAGTCAGCAGATATCTGGGAAAAAAATAATCAGTTATATAAGTTTTTATATATTGCATTCTGTTCCCAAAATTTTTTTTTATAAAAACGCCAACCAAAGTGAACATTAAGAAAAAATTCTTGTGTATGTGTGTGTACATGGAAAAACGGAGATTTAGGGCACCATGCAATGCAGTTTGGAACAAATAATGCACCAATATATCCACATACTTGCTTTGTCATGATTCCCAATCTGCATCACCTTGTATTTTAATAACTTTATATTCCAAAACATTAAAAATGATATTTGATTTCTATCAGGAAGCTGTGGTTGTTTTGAAGCAGTCAGATTGGCTGAGTTTACTACATTGCCTACTTGTTTAAGCAATATTCCTTTGTAAAAAGACGTGTGAACAGGAACTTAGTTGCAACACATAAGACGTGTTTGCCGCCTGCAGCACTGAAAAAGCAGGACTGGAAACCCAGCTGAGGATGTGAAACAAAAAGTTACTCAGTCTGAGTCAGCAGGACTTCTCACAAGACTTCTATAGGAATTTAAATGTCAGATAAATACTACTAAAAAGACATCTTTTGATAATATGACTAACTGAGTTTGACATGATCAACAGTTTCTACTTTAAGAACAATTCTACAATTTATTTCAACAGTCAAACATGGCCGTTTTCACACTCAGACCAAGCAAAACAACACAAACTTCACAGTTATAAAGCTGGTTAGTTTAATTATCAGTATAAATCACACAGAAATTGTCCACTAATCATTTCAGCTGATTCTGATAACTTTTTTGTGTATTTTGACAACTGCAAAAGCACCAGTTGCACACTATAAAATTCTCGTATACATCTGAACGTAATGGGGACAAAATAAAGTGCAATGTAAACACATTTTAAAGTGAATCACGGGACTACTAAAACCCCAGGTTCCTCCAGGTTTCAGCAATGCCACTGCCCTTCATTAACACATGATTCCTGCACATTACAATAAAAATAAATCTGAGTTTATCAACTCTCTGGAAAAAATACCTAAAACAACCGCCTTGATTGGTTGAACCATTTCACCTACTGTCGCATAGCAACCGCAAAATTTACGGCAGAAAGAAGTGCATCACTATGAGGAAGAAGATCAAATTATTGATGTTTTTCATCATTTACAAACATAATATTCTCATCTGGTTGGTGCATCTCGAATGGAAGAGTCATTTTAAAATGAGAAACAGTTCAAGGGTATCAAAACAAGAAACATTAACAATTGATATTTTTTGTCTCTATCTGGAGTTACGCTAAATAGAAAAAAAAACAACTAGTTTTTAAATGTAGTAAATATATTTCCCCATTTCAAGGTCTCTCTCGTGCTTTTTCAGGCCGCTGCGCTTTCAGACAGCAGTGAAAACTGTCTGTCCAAACAGAGGCTGAGAGGATTTACCCCCAGGTCTTTCCCAAAGGACTCAATGGGACAAATGAAACGGTCCAGTCCAGCTGTGGGGCAACGGCTGGTTCGGGGACGGGCACCGAACTTCCTCGCGGCACTTTAGCATCAGAACCCCGTCCTTGTGCCGACTCAAGCATAAGGAAAAAATAGAGTGAAGCGACTTGCTATGTGGGACCGCTCGTGTTGCTTTAACATTGACAGCTAGCCATGCTAACGCCGGAGTCCCGCTAGTTAGCATGTTAGCCAAAACAACGGAAACTCTATGGAGTTGTGCTAATGTCAGATTTGACCCCTTCAACTATTTAGGAAGTTGCATTTGTCGGGCGAAGGTGAAACACAGAATGGGACATATGCTACGAAAGCCAAGGGAATTTCCTTCCGTTTCGTGACGCAGTTACCTTTGAAGCAGAGCTGATAGTGTTTCTGGCCCCCGAAGATCTCAGGCTAGCCGTCAAACAGCCGCAAATCAGGGACGTCGCCATGTCTCCCGATACAACCGAGAAGTCACGAACGCGCATGCGCAGCGGGCTTCAAAACTCGGCTTTCTCTCGTGTGACCTTTAGGTACTGTCGGAAATAAGGAAACAGCACCATGTACACAAATAAACTCCAAAGAGGTAAAAATATTATACATGGCATTATAAATAAACCATTTAGTGATTATATGCCATTGCAAAATTTAGCGATCGTGCTCCTGTCGCTCCCCGTGATTAAACTCACTCTGTACTGTCTGATAGCAGACGGCGTGTCCGTAAGGAGAGAGATGTAACTTCTATAGTGAATATAGATTAGCAAAAAATTTAAAAACTACGAATTGCAATTAAATACTGCTACTTCCGGTAGCAGTATTAATTCAAACAGTATTGTTTGAATTAGGAGACAAAAGTACTTGCAGAAACGCAGGCCGTTATTTTGAAAAGAGTACAGTGAAGCAATAAAACAACCCATCACCCATAATAAGTAACAGATGGACATTACACCATCCAAACAGATGACAGTACAAAATGTGTGAATACTCAATTAACTAATGAAAACTAACATTATTCCTTATTCCTGGGAGGCTTACTTCCCCAGTAAGCCTCCCAGGAATAATGTGGATACACACCCATGACAAAGATGTTGATAAAATAAAAATGAGACATATAAATATCTAAATATATATATATATATATATATATATATATATATATATATATATATTACATTATATTACGAAAAATATATTTTCTAATAAAAAAAAAACATACATAGTCCACATCTCTCTTCAGATAACATTAAAGATTTCTGTCAAAAGTTCTTCTGGACTTTGGCTTGATCGTCCCAAAGCTTTAACTTACCCATGATGAAGACATTCATTTGTTGAGTGTGTGATTTTCCGTTTTGTTTTTGATGTATGCTTGGCAGTGATGCTGAAAAATAGGCACCAAATATAGTTTTTGCACAAACGGACACATGAGAACCTTCAAGATGACCATTGAATGGTTAAATATTTTATCAATCAGACCAAAAGCAGTTTTCATCTGCCAAATTACATCAATATAAAAATATTTAATTATTAGTTATTAGCTTTAAGAAGTGCATTGAGTGTAGAGATGGTTTCAGAAAAAATTCAAAAGGTTTTGGGTGATTATGAACAATTTATACCACAAAATAGAAAATTTTAAAATAAAGAAAGGTATTTCTTTCAAATCCACAAAATGAAATAATCAGAGTATCAAGATTTATGCAATTTACACTCCTTTATTATATTTTTATGTAAATAAGTCTCTTACTTTGATAGTAGCAACCAGGTACAAAAAGGTCTATTCAAAAATGATTTATTTACAAGAAAAATATATACAAGCTTATTTACATGTTGTACCACACACAACCATCAGTTATGCAACACAAAAACTCAGTGAATCACACAGAGCAGACAGACCATTAAATACTCTGAGCTTTGATATGCAGGGTTACATTAAACCAATTACAGTTGAAGTTTGAGAAAAAAAAAAAAATAATCAACATTGTCTCATTTCAGGTAACCTGCTGCTATTGGAGTTTAACCAGAAGATTGGGAAACTTGAATCTTGACTGTAACAAAGACTCAAACCCCACTGGTTGTAAAATCTAATGCAAGCTGGTTTGTTTGGCTCTATCAGCCCTCCTGTTGTTTGAATTCAGAGGAACATCCAAAGGAAACCAGGGATGACGATATTCAAACAAGATTCATACGATAAATACTGTTGATCTATTTCTGATAAATGAGGCAACATGTTAAACGTAGAAAAGTGACTGCTGGGTGGAGTTTCGGGTTTTGTTTAAGTGGACACATGCGGGTCACAGTCCAAATTATAGGGAATTAAAATAAATAAATACATTCAGCAACTTATATCCTGTTTAATCTTTAGAAAAAGCTTCAGGTGTAATCAGAAGTTTGGTTTAATTTGGCTTCATCTTTGTTGTCTAAATAAAAACATTGCAGAATCTGTTTCATTTTCGTGCACAAGTTTAGAACATTTTACTTCTCGACTTCTACACATGCTGAGTATTTGAGAGTTATTACATTTGAACACTAGGTGGCACTATGTAATAACGTAAGTTCATTTCAATATCGAGAAACTGTTTAGCTTTTAAACTGAATGATCATGCGAATTATCTGGGATCAGACCTGAAACAGAAACAAGATGGATGAAGGTACCAGTCAGGGTGTGCTAGTTAAAACTCAATAAAGAAAAAAAAACTGTGAAGAATTTGTGATTTGATCTCCAGCTTGTGATGCACAAGCTAATATTGTGAATGTGAACTGAAAAACAGCATCACCGTGGCGACAGAAACAGAGTGGGTTAAAGGTTTTCAGCATTTCACAGAGTGGAAACGAGCGGCGCTTCATAACCTCACCTTTCCAGAAATGATTCACGCTTTAGGTCAGGTGTTAAAAAACCTTGAGAGAAAATATATGTTCAAGTGTTGCCTAACATTACACACACAAACACACACACATACACACAAACACAGTGTCTTTGTTTCAGTCTGAGTCGCTGCTGCTGCTGGACGAGTCTGTGGACATGGCTTCCACGTCGTCCTCGTTTTCCTTGTTGTGACCGGCGGCTCCAGCCCGAAGTCGTTTCCATGGTGAGGGGGAAGCATCCCCACTGAGACGTCTGATGGCTGCCAGGGGTAGTGAGGTGTCAGAACGTCTGAGGAGAAACAACACAACATCTGGTCAAGAAAGAAATAAAGGAGTGAAGGAAGAAAGCAAGCAAAAAAAATAAATAAATAAAAGAAGGAAGTCTTATAGAACTGGATACCAAATACAGTCCGAACACATATTTTTCCATCTGGAATCTTAATTCCACATTTCTCCAGGCTGAATAGTAATTCTGTCACCATCGGCCCATTTTGTCTGATTCTAAGATCAGAACTGGTCTCCAGTTCTTCCTGTTCCTCCATGGTAAACTGACCGGGTAGCCGTCCTGCAGCCAGAGCGTCTCCTGGCAGATGTCCGTTCATCCCATTGGACGGCAGGTTGGCCATGTGTCCCAGCATCCCGCTGCGCATCTCCAGGTCAGTAGGGTACGGTCTGCGCGGGTCACCTGCGTGCGGCGTTCCCGTTAGCAACTCCAGGTAACAGAACAGAAACACCAAAATTACCAAAAGGAGAAGCCGGTTCTCACCTGGCACCCAGTTGAGCGGCGCGCACACGGCGTTACTGGCGCTGATTCGGTGAGCGTACTTGATGATTTCCTCGGAAGATATGCTTCCTGCGTTGAACGAGAAAGTATGGAGAGTTTCAGGAAGAGACAGAGAAAAAAAATGTAAAAATCTAAAAGGTAAATATTCACAGAAAGCTTTGCTCACCTTTTCTGGCCTTCTCGATGGATTTCAGCTTCTCTTTAGCCTGGTAAACAGCTGTGGCCTTTGGGGGAAAAAACACAAAAAATAAAACACAAAATGGAAAACAGTCACACTGTCAGTTCCACTGTCATATTGTTATTAAAGGGGCAGAAATGTGTGTTTTCCTGTCGTAGTGTTATTTTATAGCAATATCAGGTAACTATCTTACCTTCAGTTGTTGCAAAAATGATATATCTAAATATATCAAATGTGACTTAAATAATTTCACACCATGAAATTGGAACTCTGTCTCTTTGAGAAGCTCCTGTTCTTTGTGAAACTCCGCCCTCAGAAAGTTATCGCAACATGACTCCTCTATTAACACTTTAACAACGTTTTCACCAGTGTTTCACTGAGAAGTAGCTCATATAATGAGCTCAGCTGATTAGTTCCATCAGATGTTTGCTAGTTGCTGCTGGATAGTCTGAAAGACCTGACTGGGGAGTCTTAATCTATGAGGGGGAAGCTTGGAAACTTGAGCTCTAAGACGAAGCTTCATCCTCTAAAGCAGAGCAAGGTCCACCCATTCATTTTTCTCAGCTGAATGATTGCCGTGGACATGAAAGGATTTCTCGAATATGAATGAAAGAATCAAGTCTTTTTGATGAAGGAATAAAAAAATAACACACAGTAAAGCTCAACAAAGGAGCAGTGAATAATACTGCCCCTTCAACAGGAACGTAAGGACAAAATAACTGCTTCTGACCAGGATGTGTTCTGCCTCCTTCAGCTGTTTCTGCAGCTGCTGGATGTCGCTGTCCCTCTTCTCCACCTCCTTCTCCAGCAGCTGCATCTCCTGGTGGACCTTGCCCTGCTGCTGCGCCACCTCCATCAGCTCCTGGAACTCCTTGTCCCTCTGTACGAGTAGCTCCAAATCTGAGGACAGAGCGAACCCTCCTTAAATACGCCAGAACTGAACTGACCTACGCCACAAACTCAGAAACAATGAGCCAATAATGGAAAAAAAAGCATAGTTAATAAAAAGACACCTGAGTAACCAGATACTTAATTTGAGTGTTGTTGTGTACAAAGTGAATGGAAGGAGCTGGAAGTCTCACCTAACCATTTACTATTTTATTTACGTTATTCATACATTCATTTAGCTGCACTACATCAACGTAGAGGTTGACATATAAGAACTCTGATACACACAGTCTTCACTTTTCACATATTTTCTATTTGTCAGTAAAAATGCCACCCTAAAAAAATAGAAGAAAAATAGTTATTTTCTATCAAAAGCCAACACTAAGACATCAAATTTGTACCATTTTAAATTGGGAGCATCATTTTGGACACCACTGGTTTAAAAAGTCCCCTAGCATCCTTTTTTATTGAAGAGTTACATGCTTCTCTGACTGCTCTCTCTTACATCCAAAGTGTGATACATCCTCTCGTGTGACATGGTTAACAGTTTACCTGCGTGTCTTCTCCTGGCTGAGGAAGTTTCTGACTTCTGGACAGAGCCAACATCTCTATCAGCTGTAATAAAAACAGTCGAAGATTTGTTACCCAGGGTACGCAGACTCCATCAAACACCCGCCGCAGTTTATTCGTCAAATGTACGAAACCGTGGACAGATTATTATGAAGCAGGGTTAAGTGTTTAAGCGACCAGAAGTCGCTAAATTGTGATTTTTTAAATCACTTCTGCAATAGAGTCCGGTAAAGACAGTTCTGACCCGCCAAGCGAATAGCCCTCGGTTGTTTCTTCCAATTTTAAGGTAATTGGAAATAAGAACAACGTGGAAAAAAACGAGTTAACAAACTCAAAAAGTTCAAATTTACCGGGATAAAACCTCTAAGTCGTCCAGAACAGAAAGAAGACGCTCCTTCGTTGATTTCTCCGCTAGCGCCGCCATGTTTGCATCTCTCTCTGCGCCGAACGGATGTGACGTAGATCACTCTATTCTCTTCATGTTGCTCAATGAGAGCCATCTATGGGTAATAAGAGGATATTACAGAAAACTGTTCCTCGCTCCTGACCTTAAAGTGAGTACCCCCTTCTGACGACGACGGTAAACTTCATTTTCACTATTAAGGATGTTATTTTGGTAAGGAAGAGTGATGTTACTGGCATCTCACGGCATATTGAAGTGGCACCAAAAAAATCTTCGTGGATATTAGTGACACGTCACAAATTGCCGTGACAACGGATCAGTATCAGAGTCCAGTGATCAAATATCATCCTCCTTTACATACATGACTGTAAATAAAGACCCGAACGAAACATGATCTGTTGATCCTGCATATCGATGCTTGATCATTTAAGAAAGGATAACCTATCCTATCTTTAAGGTTTTTAGTGTTTTTTAAGTTTTTACCTGAAAGACAAAGCAAATGGTTAGTGACCAAATGAGCGCAGAGGGTCTACATTCAAAGACTCTGTTCAGGCGGTCAATGACGCCAATCGGTGACGTTGATTCTGGGTTGGAGTTTTCCATTCAAGGAAAACGTGACCAGTGAACAGCTGAGCCAATCAGGAGCAGGCGACCGCCCACTGCTCATTAACTATAGCATTTCAACACTTAGTTGGTTCCTTTTTAGTCTTGAAGTTGAAATATTTTCAAAGTAACTCATCAGTTAAAATAAGTCATTAATAACTTATACATTATATAAGTATTTATTTTATATGGTATAACTATACATTATATCAACCAGTAATTTTTGTTTTGTTTTGTTTTTACAAATAACATGACAAAGTAAAGACAAAGTGACTAAATGATCGCAGATAATCTACAATCAAATACTTTGAAGAATATTTTAATGAAGACTTAGATTTCTATTTTGTTTTTACATTCTTTATCATTTCTCTTTATCACATGTGAATATTAAACTTTAGTCACACGACTGATGGAGACAAAATCAAGTTTCTCGTCCACCTCCTCTTTCCTGATGTTGGAAATGTCCTTGTTTCTCCTGAGTTCTTGAGGCCAGAGTCCTTCAGGAACTGGTTTCAACATCAGATGGTGCACTGTCCTCAGCCTCTGAAGGTTATCCAAGGGTGCAATGCTGTACAGAACCTCCTGAAGTCGGAGCCTTTATCACAGTATGGATTATGGGATTCCAAACATCCATACAAGGAACTTTACCTCCTCTTCTGATCTCTAAAATTCATGGACACAGATCAAGATGCAGAACTGTATGATATGGGAAACAATTTGAAACTGCTGGAAAACCCCTAATGGCTTGTTGGTTTTTTATCTCTTCTTCCTCCAGCGTCAAGATGTAGGGCAGAAGGGGCAACAGTCTCTCAGATCCCTGCTGCTGGTAGCATTGTGACTGACATTTTTTAATTATGGTGTCAGTAAGTTCTGTCTATTGATGAGCCGCCAACACAAAAAGTTGGGGTAGATTTCAGCCGGGGCGTCTTGTCGTGGAAGTATGGCGCTGCACATTCTTCCTCTTGCCCAGATCAAGAAGACGCTGTGACAGAGTGCAGCTGGTTTGTTGTGGAGAGAGGTAATCAGCATTTGCATTTAAAAGCAGGTAGATCACTGAGGGCATCAGATCCCAGGCTGATGATTCATCCAGAGGCATGTTTAACATGAAGCATGAATTGGGTTTGGAATGATTTCTGATGCCTCCAGTGATTGTTGCAGGAAACTCACTTCTGGAGAGGATGTGCAGAGCACCGCTCACTGTTTCACTATAGAGAAGCTCAAGGCAGATTCTTATTATCTGGCATCTTGAGGTGCTTGTCTAACTCTTTTTCTTTTGTGTGCAGGTTGGCCTGCTACGTTTCAGTTTCAGTTTTGTTTCAATTTCAGTGATGTATTAGTTTAGAATTTCTTTTCTGGATAGTTATTATTAATCAAAAGCATTTTTTATTGTTATTTATTTATTTTGTCTAAAGAAGGGAGTTTTTATCGTCCAGCCCTTTGGTTTCTCTGTAAAACAAAAAGATGTCGCTGTCCCTGGGTCCCAAGCTGTTTATCTAGATTGAGGAGACTATAGTGGAAGGGGAGTTTTGCTTTTAGTTGCTTCAGGATTTTTGTGACTGTGTTTTTGTTGGGGAACACTCAAGTGTATTTAGTCATATTTGTGTTGTCTCTATTATTATTCCTCCCCCAAGCATTCATAGGCTTTGTGAGCTCAATAAACTGTTAATTTGCAACGGTGCCTCTGGTAATGATTAAACTTATCTGTGTGATCATGTAAAAGGAGAATTTAAGGTTCTCCACACATAAGGTCACATATAAAATTCATATTTATGTGATGAAGACGCTGTGAAGGACTTATTTTAACTGAGATGAGTCACTTTGAAAATAATTCAACTTCAAGACTAAAAGGAACCAACTAAGTATTCAAATGCTATAGTTAATGAGCAGTGGGCGGTCGCCTGCTCCTGATTGGCTCAGCTGTTCACTGGTCACGTTTTCCTTGAATGGAAAACTCCAACCCAGAATCAACGTCACCGATTGGCGTCATTGACCGCCTGAACAGAGTCTTTGAATGTAGACCCCTCTGCGCTCATTTGGTCACTAACCATTTGCTTTGTCTTTCAGGTAAAAACTTAAAAAAACACTAAAAACCTTAAAGATAGGATAGGTTATCCTTTCTTAAATGATCAAGCATCGATATGCAGGATCAACAGATCATGTTTAGTCCGGGTCTTTATTTACAGTCATGTATGTAAAGGAGGATGATATTTGATCACTGGACTCTGGAAACAAACTCGTATCGGTTCTGCTCGCTGCAGCGTCCACACGTTGCTCTCTACTGCCCCCTAGGAAAGGTTGGGCCTGTAATAGCAGAGATTATCTGTTCTGCGTAGAATATTTTTCACCAAAATGGAAAGTATTTCCAGATTTACCTACACTGCACATACATATACACATTTCTGCAATAATTACAACAACTGGATTATTATTTTCTATGGAAACATAAATCTCACTTAATAAGAAAATGTAATGTAATCAGTTTGAAGATGGACGACTGCAAGCTTTTCAATTTGATTGAACGAACGACACTTTAAAAATAAAATGGCTTTGGTCTTTTTTTTAAATTAAAAGAATTTATGGTTCTATATTCCAAGTAAAATATTTCAAATCTGGGCAGAGTTCGTTTCTTCTTAGATTGACTGTGACATTGACATTGTTGTCAATTTTATTTCGGCTTATTTTAAGACTGTTCATAATTCCTGCAGTGGTCAATTTAATAAACTGCATTAGATACGATAGTAGAATATTTAGTTTATTGCAAATACAAATATAGATACGAGAAAGAAAACAGAAAGTGACTAAATTATCGGAGATAACCTACATTCAAAGACTGGATAAAAAAATTACTATGATGTTTTCAAATATATATTTATACATATCTACACGTTGCAGTAGAACAGTGTTTTTCAACGAGTGTCCCGTGGAAATTATTCAATTTCACTAAATTGGTCTAAAAACGATTTTTTGAAAACAAATTGACTGCAAATAATATGCCATTTCCGAGAGTCTGTGTTGTATAGTGACTAGCGGCGTCATCATGTAATTTCCTGATGACAGGATGGCAGTAGGTACACAGCACTGTACGTTAAAACAAGAGAATTAGTGATGCATGAATGTGACAGGAAGCGGTGAGAGCATTGTACCAAGCAAGACTGTGATGACAGTGATGGAAAAGTTTAGAAAAGAAAAAGCTAAATTCAGACCCAGATGAAAACTTAGCATGAGTGGATATCAACGGAAGGCAAATACCGTGAACTTTTTCTTTTCTAAATATTATTGCTTCTCTCAGAAAAGGAATTATTTTCTATATTCTGGCTGAGAGATTGCTTGTGGTCAGAATTAGTCGTGTGAAACAATGTGGTCTTAAATTTAAATTGTTGTGCCACTGATCAGGCGCACTTTTGAAGTAGACATGTTAAGTGCAATTTGAAATATCTAATATAAAATATGATACAAATTCCTATTCAAGACACTTTGATAAGAACGACCATATATTATTATTTATTATTTTCATTTGTTTAGATTTTTGGTTGGTGGTGTGCCTCTTGATTCTTTCAATGAAAACAATGTACCTAGGCTCAAAAAGGTTGAAAAATACTGCAGTAGAAAGCAACGTTTAGATGCTGGGAGGAAGAAGAAAAAGTATAAAAAGTGTCCGGTTGTTTAGGGAGCAGCGGATCAGAACCAGAGTCCAGTGATCAAATATCATCCTCCTTTACATACATGACTGTAATAAAGACCCGGACTAAACATGATCTGTTGATCCTGCATATCGATGCTTGATCATTTAAAAAAGGATAACCTATCCTATCTTTAAGGTTTTTAGTGTTTTTTTAAGTTTTTACCTGAAAGACAAAGCAAATGGTTAGTGACCAAATGAGCGCAGAGGGTCTACATTCAAAGACTCTGTTCAGGCGGTCAATGACGCCAATCGGTGACGTTGATTCTGGGTTGGAGTTTTCCATTCAAGGAAAACGTGACCAGTGAAGAGCTGAGCCAATCAGGAGCAGGCGACCGCCCACTGCTCATT